GGGAAAGAGATACCAGTAAACGATATTTTTTAATATTTCAAAATTGAATGTAATATTTAAATATTAAAGTCACTTGAATAATAAATAAAGTATGTGACTTTATGGTGTATGCTATTTGCTGGTTATTGTTATTTATTTGTATATGACTAAGTAATCCAATTACTTATAAATGGTAACATAAATATCTACTCTAAAAGTTTTATAAAAGAACTAGAGACATGAATCGCAATGCATTTATTTAATTACCCAATATCTGATATCAAGTTAAGTAAACAACACTAGATTCTTTATATCTACACTCAACATATTTTTACGTTATTATAATGCAAATTTTTCAGCTTTTTCCATGTAAATTCTAAAAGATTCTCGGGTTAATGAGGTATAAACCGTTATAGCAGATATAATATAAAGATTAAAAATTTCGCACAAGTATTACTCACAAATGAATATGTTTTATTCATAAAAAATTTATATTAAAAATCTACAGTAAAAAGTATATTTCTTGTGCAAATATTTATAAAAATAATTAAATTATGAGAGTGAATTTTAATTATAGACATTTGCAACAATTTTTTTCATCAATTATTTTTTAACAAATAATATTATAAAAATTATTTCATTTAACGAAAATTTTTAATAGTGTAAACGATATCATAAATAAACTTTACTGGTGCAAAAAATGTAGCAATAAAAAATTCAAAATAATAGAAATTCGAAAGAAAATTAAGTGTTTCAGGAAATTTCATGTAATGTAACTTAGAATAGTTTCGAGTTTCGAATCATTTCAACTTTTTTTCGCGAGGGCGGATGCTTTCATTGCTAATTTCATCGCTAAGAAACTTGATTTGTTGTTGCCCGAGTTCTCAACATACTTCGATAGTTTACGAGACTTAGTTCTATGAAGCAATCGAATAGCTGAAATACGGTAAGTGCTCATCTTCGTTTCGTTTAAAAAAGAAAACATAATGCCAATTACTTGAAAAAAGATTGAAAAAGACACTGAGTTTAATCGATATTTGATAAAAAGTTTTCACGAAATAAGTGGTTGACTTAAGTTTTCTTCCAAGTAGCTTTTCTGAAATAAATACTGTATGAAGAAACGGATATCTATCGATTGTAGTTGTTTATTCAAGCTCACGTCAATTATTTTTTTTTGCTTTTTAAGAATTATGTTACAGGTCACACAGCTGTTTTCCTATGTCAATTGTAAAAATTTATCAAGTTCTTATTATAACTGCTTGTAATTTATCCTGTGTAATATTTCGACGTCGCTTAATATATATACTTTCTGCGTCCTGTAATCTAGATGTGTGTGTATTGTATTGTGTTGTATATTATATTGTAGACCGTTTGTGGTGTACACATTTTTAAAATATTTCATATTGTCTCTATATATTGAAATATCTAAATATAATGGATAAAATTTTTTATTATTTTACTATTAATATATTTGCGATCACTATTCTCAGAGCAAATAATGCTGTATCGACACTGTATATGTACTGTAGAAATTTTTTATATAGATAAAATTAGAATTAACTCTAAAACGTAGTCAGAAATACTTAGGATAAACTTTAGAACAAGACATATTATTTTCATTCATTGATAAACAAATACTAAAAAACTTATTTAATTGATTTATTAAACTTTAGTAAAATCAAAAATTATAATTTTTTATTAATTATATTTATATATAATATTATATATAATTTATATTATTATATTATTAATAATATAATATAATTTAATTTAATAATATAATATAATATAATTTAATAATATAATATAAATTATATTATTATATATAAATAAATATTAATTATATTAATTATACATAAATAATATAAAAATTTATACAAATCATATAAATAATTTCAAATAAGTCATGTTAATAATATAAATTGTATATTTATTAAAAAATTTATAGATACGATGCAATTCTCTCTCAAAATTATATTTCTTTTACAATATACAATATTAGATAATAATTTACTATTTCTTTTAAATACATTTTTAAAGTAATATTGAACAAATTATTTTTAAATTAATTTATATTTACAGTTTTTAAACAAATAAAAATTTTTTTTTAGTTTTATAAAAGGCTCTAAAACAATTTTTTTTTTTTTTTAATTAGAAAATAATTATTTGATATATAAAGAATTAATTTTGATAAACATTAAAAAATATATCAGAAATTCAAAATGTTTAATTGTTTTTATTAAACTATTAGTAAGATAACAAATACATAATATATCCAAGTATGTATTATTTATCCTGTTAATTTTAAGTTCAATTTGTTATTAATATGTGTTAAATTGAAATTTGTGTTTAATTTTGAAACCTAGATTTTTCATTATTTATTGTAGAATCTAAAAGTATGCAGACTAGTATACACTTAAATTTTAATTTAATATTATTTCAGTTCATGAATATGCATTTTGTCTGAAAAAATAATCTCTGTTGTATAATTGTAATAAAAATTATGTCATTAAATATTTTTGCTAATTACTAGCTCATGCTAGTAAAATCTATAAATTAAAGACAAAAATAATATTTTGCTTATATCTTCTATTATTCTTCTAAATTCTCTCATATAAAATGAAAGGTTAATCATATCTAAGAGTGTATAGTATTTTTATTGCAGTAATTTCATTCGAGCTGTATTTAGAAATATGTAAGATATAATTTTTGAAAAAGCTTATCACTATTATATTAATATATATCAACCTAATGGCATATTATATTATACTTCATAACGATCCCAATCAAATATAGAATTTCTTACGTAAAGACCCATATGGTTAAATTTCTCTTATTGCGGCGTTTGATTTTTACAGCTCGATTACGTATTACAATCACATCATTTGTTAGTGTATAATAAATTCTTTCAACATATTATAGGCTCGTTTTGTTTGCATGTGGAATGGATCTGGTGATTTCCATATAGCCGTAAATTATATACGACGAATGACTAAAGCTGGCAGGAAATCCCCGTTAGATCAAAAAAAAAAAAAAAAATACTAAATGTAAGACAAACATAGTCACTTTTTAACACTCGATGCTCATTCCCATGCATTTTTATTTTATATATTTGTATGTAAAATAAGCAACATATACTAAATTTTGTTTTTGTTTTAATTTACTGTTACTTCATAATCTGATTAGAAACTGCATTTTCAAATATCAAATATAAATACGATTAGATTGTGTTATATATTTTATTAGTAAAATAATTGACATAAAAATATTATTTATATATCTTATATTATATTTCTCTTTTAATTTTATGATTATATCTTCAAATATTAAGCATTAAAATAAATTTTTAAATTAAATACTTGTACACTTATTGTTTAAAAATATTATCATTATATAATAATAATAATACTTTTAATAATATTAACATTATACAACATATAGGTTAATGAACATTGGTGTTAAGACCATACAATATAAAACTTGCACTGCTATCTCTTAAAATAAAGATTACAAATTGAATAATGTACCTATAATGACTTTTATGAAGATATCCATTATGCAAATGTTAAATATATATTATTACATGTGTAATAAGTTTAAATTTGTATAAAAAATTTTCTTTAAAAGATTTAATTTGATATTATTTTAATAAATCGTAGTAAATTTAATATAAACGTATAATGTTTATGGTGTAATAACATTTTATGTTTATATTTTACATTGGAAATAAAAAAAGAAAAAAATTAATTTGCAATTAATAGATTTTTAAAATGAAATTATTGTAAACAAATTTTATTTGTGTTCATAAAGTTATGATCGATGAAAATCTGTTCTTTACGATAATTTTTGATAATGATAAATCTCTAACATTCCTTTTAATAATTTTAAAAAATTTGTGATATTCTAAAAAAGATTCAAATACTTTCTGCACAAAATATGCAAATGGGACCGCTATTTTCCAAAAGGAAACATAAATCTTGGTAAATACTATACGTGAAAACAGAGATTGAGGATTTCATCGTTGTCAAGTAGAAAGAGAGAGAGAGAGAGAGAGAGATGGAATCAGGCAGAAAGTAAATACAACTGTAACTTGGAACTATATAATGAAATCAATGGAAAAAGGATTATAGGTATACCTACAAAAATTATTAGGTTAGTGACATTGACCAATGAAAGTTGTATGGTGGTCAGATAGTTTAGTGTAGTTAGTGATTAGTATTAGTATTGAGAGAGAGAGAGAGAGAGAGAGAGAGACACGTGACCGCGTATCAGCAATTCACGTCGGTTCGGAATTCGCGCCGGTATGACTTTGCTTATATATAGGCATATAACGGCCCCAAATAACCGTAACGGTTGTTATTCAAGCAGACGGCATGAAACACGTGTCGCAGAGGATGCCGGTGGCGCCTTCAACAAGGATATGTTTATTAGACTGCTACGGAGAAATGGCTTTGGTCGTGTGTTGGCAACGCTAAGCACGCCAACATGAAATCTTATTTAGTGCTAGCCCTTGTGATTGTTGGAGACAAGCCTCAAGGAAAACTTATTCTCATATGTTTCCTTTATTCTATGGGAAAATAATGCACTATTATACCTATTCTAATAGTTTTTATGTATATCAAACGTAAAGAACCGTGAATCTTTGAAAATGATAAGATATTGTTTATTAGAATACAAAATAATTTTATTTTCATAGTAATAAGAAAAAGGAATAATGTATTTAATTATTACTTATATTAAGAATAATTATTTGTAGTTTATTTCATGGTAATTTTCGTACCTACTGAGTATGCAATAATGAAATATTTTTTTTTACATAATTAGAAAGACGATAGATTTAACATAGTTGTATTTTAATTAAAATATTTATAATAAAAATAAAAATTAAATAAATTATAATTATAAAAAAATTAACAAGTATATTAGTATGTAACAAACTTTTATTAAATCTATGAAATGCTTTTTTGGTTAGACTCTGCTGTGGTTTTCAAGGTTTTTGTGGTACTTTAAGTAATTAATTGAATTTTTTATTATTCGTTTTCTGTGATTTATATTCAAAGATTGTAATAAAAAATAAGTATTAGTTATGGAAAACATATTATAAATAAAGATATTCTATTTAAAACTTTAATTTATGAATAATTTATTGAGTGTATTATAAAATGCTATATTTTAACTATAGAAAATGATAGAATATAGACATTTCATAAAGACAATTTACTGTTTAATTATTAAAAATTTTAATAAATATATGCACTAATTCATAAATACAATTAAGAATTTAATATTACAGCTTATTTCTTAATTGCTTTATTGAAAATTAATTTGAATTATAAAGAAATAAAAATTATTTAAAAAATTTTATTTGTGATCAAAATTTTATCAATATATATTTTAAGTATGATAAAAACTTTTAGTCTAGTACTTTACAGATTGAATAAAAAGTGAAACCTACTGTTTACTTTAAAAAATATTTTCATAGATTTATTGATAAAAAACTGATCTTCATAAAAATATAATAGGTTTTCATCTAAATAATGATATCAACATATTTACATATTTGTTTATATAACACATGCAAAACTTACATAATTGCTAATTGTACTATTTAATGATTTATTATTTTCGAACTTCCTTATGTTTTTATTAAAAAACTATTTAATTATTTTTATATTATTTATATTATATTGTTCTCGTTTAAGAAATTTTTTATAAAATTCTATTGTTTCAAATAAATAGACTATTTTTATTATAGATTATTTTTATATTAATTAGATGATAATACTCAATACCACTAGACAATAATTAAAATTTAGAAGTATTTCATTTTCAAATAAAATAATTTAAAAAATTTATCACTTATGCTTTGCATGTTTATTTTAAAATTAAACTCGTTTCATTTAATACAAATAAAAATGTAAAAGAAAAAAACATTGTATTGATTAAAATTATGAATTTATCTTCAGTTTATTTCCATATAATAAAGTTAAATTTAAATCTATCAGCCTCTAAGTAAATTTCACTTCAATTTGCAAAATTTGTGTTAATCAATCAAAATTAAAAATTAAATTATATTTTATATAATATATTATTTAGGATAGAGAATTGTAAACAGATTCGTATGGCAGCAAAAACATAATTAGTTGGTACCAAATCCAAAATTCAAACAAAACAGATGCAGTTCTTTAACTGGTGTTAGAAACAAGTAAATCCCGGAGATTATAAAAATTGTATTTAAAAGACAAAAAGTATGAGATTGTAATATATGGCATTGTGAAAAAATTAATGTCATAATAGAAGTAATTTCGTGAATTTCTCATTTTTTATAATCATTCTACTGTCTTTTTATATTCAGCTCTGGCTCCCCCCCTCCCGAGCCCAACTCTTGGCTCATACGCCATTTAACTAATATATATATATATATATATATATATATATATATACACATGCATATAAATGCTTAAAACTGCCAGCGGCCTTCTTTCACATCGGCAACATGTGTGTACGTAGGTGAATGTGAGGGGCATACGACCGCTCTCCCTTGCTCACCGTTGTCTTCGCGCTGCTTCTCGAAGTGGGCCAGTCGCATCCTTCGAGATATAACTGTGCCGTAAGACAAGGCGCGCGAATTTCTATTTTTCCGTAATCGCCTGCGACCGAAATTTTTGCGCTCGTTTTGCCTGACATAACCGCAGTGGTATAAATAAGGTATCTTTTATTCCGTTTTTGTTTAAATATATTCCTCTTTCATTTTTTCACATTATAACATACTTAGAAACCACTGTTTACTATGAACTGTACTATTTAATAAAATTTAAGTTTTTTTGGATAGAATTTAGGTATATGAACTTGAGTGTTACTATTTTAGCAATCGCTTATTTTTTTCAAATAACATGATTGTTTTACGTTTATAATTTGTCATTATTTAAATGGACATTAAAAAGTTGCCCAACTTCATTTTATTATATTATTCATTATTTGCTTGATTATTGTAGTTGAGAAATACACCTGTATAAGAAGGCAATTAATTACTTTATATAATTAAATATAAACTTGGTTATGTTTATGGATAACAAAACCAATAAAAGGTTTTATAAATTGTTTTGTGATGGCAATCACGTTAGAAAGTTCGATCTGTGTATGAGGAATGTTTATTGATATCAATAAGAACAGCTTGGCTAGCATCTTGAGGGTAGCAATGTAACATGCTTTATTTCAATTTCTAGGTTAAATCGATACACAACAGCATTTGCTTTATTAATAACTCAGTTAAATATTTTGAAGATTGCATAATAGATATGGCAGATAAAAGAAATCTTAATATTTTTATGTACTAATTGGTAAAAACGAAATAGGAATTAATAAAATATTTAAATAAAATAAAAAATTATTACTAATGATAAACATAGAATTTATTATAGAATTTAAATAGGAGGATGAGCTAAGTAAATATTAAAATCTGCCACATTAAACAATGAATTAGAGTGTAATACACCTGTCACGAATTATGATAGTAATCGTTCAGTCAGAATAGAGTGATCTTTGTAAAAGGCTGTTTGAGACTCGTCCTTGGCTTACCTGACAGAAAACTACCGGCGAGCGAGTCATCATCCTGGCCAATGACGGCGCCGGCGACCATTAGGAGCAGCGTTAGGATGGTCCTTCGCTGCATCCTGCTCTCGGTAGCTGCGTTCCTCTACTTATTCCTGATATCGTAACACCTCGTCGATTGATATTCAACAGCTCGCGACGTTCTCTTTTTCTTTCCTGCTGGTTCGATCTCTTGGTACACAGACTAACGCGATCTTATAACCCTAATTGCGCGCGCGCTCCAGCCTCATCGCCCTGACTGACGTATTGACGGCGCCCAAGCGGTCTCCCAAGTTGTGGGTCAGGGTGTGTGACGCTCAAGGTAAGAGCTGCTCGTAATGTCGGGAGAGAGCTAGCCAAGTGGGAGGTTTACCGGTGCCCGTAAGTGTCTTTCTTACCTGTCTCTTCTTGCAGGAACGTTGCCCTCCTTAAACCTCTTTGCGCTCTGCCTCTCTCTTCAGACGCTCTCTCTCTCTCTCTCTCTCTCTCTCTCTCGGTGAGTCTTGCATGCTCTTAATCCATCTCGCTCAGAAGCGACACCATCAGAAAGAACATCTTCCTTTTCTCTCCTATTTCACTCCCCACTTTTTCCTTTCCTTTCCCCGTTCTTTCTTCTTGAATCTTCGATTTCCGCATGACCTCTGCTTCTCCCTTTTCCTTGCACAGGAGGCCAGCACATTTTTCTCTCGTTTAGCTCTTCGGTAGGTGCATAGAAAGAGAGAGGAAGCGGAAAAAGAGAGCAGCTATGATAATGAGTACATATTTGTGGTCATGTTCACAATAAAAAACTTGGTTGGATAAATATCCGAAGAATTTTTCAATTTTTAAAAGGATAACAAAAGAGATAAAAAGAAGATGTCACGTGAAAAAAGTTTGCCTTTAAATACCATTGCATACTTCGTTTACGTTTAATCGCTCTGTAATAAATTTAATATCACTTACAATTTAAATTATTAATATGCAATTACTTATTTAAACGGATTTTTTACAATCCTTAAATGTAGAAGATATTACATTTGTACGAAATTGATACATTAAGCTCCAGAATTTATGTTTGCGACCAGGTTAATTTATTCATTTATATTAATTAATTTATAATGGATACTTTCATAAAATATTGATCATAGAAAATTAATTATATCGATACACATCATAATTTTAACAACTGTCTTTTTTTAACAACTGTTACTCATTTACATAAATTAATTTTAATTATTTCGAAAGTAAAGAATTAATTGACCATCAAACATTAAGTTAAATACGCTATTTTTTATATGTTTAACATAATCAATGTGATAAATTTATTTTAAATATTAAATCATAAAGGTTAAAATCTATCTATCTAACTATATATAAATATATATATATCAAGAATATGATTTTGAGTATTTACAACCGTAAGTATTCTATTGCAAAAAAATCTTTTATTATTTTGAATGTTATTTCATTTGTAATATTTCTAATATGAATTTTATTTCCACATGTACGTATATGTTTTATGTAAAATTTACAGAAAATATCATTTATTATGAAAAACACTAAAAATTTGTTTTCATTAAATCATTTATTAATTATAATTTTTATTAATTTTAATATTATGTAAATTTATAATAAAAAATGTGATACATGAATTAAAAACTTTTTTTTGACCAATTAAAAAATTTTAATTCAAAATATCATATAATTAATACATTGTTAAATCCGCATTATTTTCAATTTTTTATTTTAATTTCAATTAAATCAACAACCGATATTTTAAAGTATATTAAATAAATAATAAATAATAATGTTACTTTATTATACTATAATTATATTAATAATTTTAATAAAAAATTTGCATATTAAAAAAACTCCATATCTATATCTGAAATAATTGTTTGAATTATATTTATCATTTTTTATTATCGATATACTGCAGATTTATGACCACATAAATTACAACTAATAAAATTGTGCTAATGAGCGAATTTTTTACTTTTATGTAAAATTTATAAATAATTAAATACACGCGACATATATAATAGTAAAAATAATTTACAACCGTATCCATTTTCTAAATTGTACTATGTTTCAATCAAACGAGTAACTTTATTGTGAAAGAAACAGTTTAACCGTGTTATCATTTTCAGCATTTTTTGAAAATATTCATTTTAAATAATTGAAACATAAAATTAAATGATTTCAGTTTCAAATTATTTATTAAAGTGTATTTTGGATATTTATTAATATTCTTTTTATCCTAACTAGAGTTTGTTTTAAACCAAATGAAGAGACTTATACATTTATTATTCTGCTTCAATTTGATTAATTTCAATTAAAAATGAAAATTTAATTTATAAAAAATATGTTCAATAAAAGGAACTCTGAAAAGAGGATTGATAACTGAAAATTTCCTCCTTAAATATTAAAAATATGCGCAGCGGATTCCGAAATAATTATAAGCACTGTAGAAATAACAATTCTTATTAGCTCTCGAGGTCGACTAAAACTGTATATATCTGATTATATTATACAACACCTTAATTCTGAAAGCATTCCGTTATTCTTGCGATTGTCATGCGAATAAATTAAAAAGGGAACGCTCGAAACTTTCGCTGTGCGTTTGTACAGAAATATACTCGCCGCTGAGACTTTTTGAAATGCTACGCAGTCTTGCACGAAAATAACGGAATATTTCCTCTTTATAATACTATTGATACTATGCAAATAAGTTGTTGAATTGCCTGGTCTTAATTATTTTCAAGCTAATTTTGATGTAGCTAGTTTAATATCTACACTTATCATTATATTAATAACGTAAATAATTATTAAAATATAAATATACTTATATTCACTTTAAAACATTAACCATTTATTAATTAATAAATGTAAAAGTTTAAATTTTTTATTTATCAATCAATTAATTTAAATGAAAAATAATTATTCCCTTATTTGTTTATAATTATATATTTTTAATATAAAATCACAGTTTTTAAACTGTAAATAAATCACAATTTTAAAAGTAAAAAAACTAATTACTTTAAGTAAAAGTAAAGTAAAAGGTATAATATAACTTGCTAATTTAATTATAAAAAAACCGTATTCTTTTTATACCATTGAATTTCTATAAACCTAGTTAAAATATGTATATTAATCATAGATTTTCATGTAATAAATATATAATTTATAAAGTGAACATTGAAAATAGGATTTCTGATCGATAAGTTTTCACGAATTTACACGATTTTTAAAGTTATAAAATATATATGAAAATTTTCAATCATTTTATTGATATCCAAAACTGTAGTAATTCCAATTGAATTAATGAACTGACTCATATAAGATTCATTAATTTCTAATTCAAATTTTTAACGTCTTATACAAATATCCTTAATAAGTTAAGACGAATTAAATAGATTTTTTTAATGCTGAATCTGACGAAAGTATCTGTAATATAATTAAAGCTTGGAATTATAGAATATAGACTAGATTATAGTATATTTTAAGATACTTTCACTATAATCGGAATTTCTTGAAAAAATGGAACGCTATAAATAGGAAGTACATTTTTAATTAAACTAAAGATGTATATCTATTTGATTACGTTTGGTATTCTTAAAAAATTTATACAAATAATTTTTAATATTTAAAGATTTTTACTTGTATATATAAAAGTATTAAAAATGTATATTGTCTCGTAAAATTTTATAAATATATACATAAATATATATATATATTTTTTTGTATTTATATAACTCAAACTGGAAATTGACATGTTTTATTAAAACATATATTATCGTATATCTATAATACAGATGATATAATACAGATAATGAATTGTCATTTATGCCAAATATAAGATTTTTCGATTGTTCACTTACGGACTATTCCTTTCTCGGATCTTTCCGTAAGTTTATACAAGCGTAAGTGTTCATGCATAAAATTAGCGGTACTTCTTCAGTAAATATGTGTGATACTCATATATAAATGATCAAAGTACTCAAATGAAACCATTATTTTTAAATCATTTGAACATTAGAACATTAGATTATCTCATTGGTTTAGTTACATCAAAATCTAAAATTATTCAATTTGATATGAATAAATACTATTATTATTTAAACGAAGCCATTTCGACTGCTTAGTATATGCTATTTTTTGTTGTAATTATTTAAAATAAATTTGTATATAAATAAACAAGTGAAGTATTCAATGACTATTTTTATTTAAACTAATTTCAAAATTATTATGTAAGCATTAAATCAAATACACAGTAAAAATATTTTAAAGAAATAATAATTACAAATGTAAAATAAATGATTGAAGTTTAGTTTCATAATTTTATATAATATTACATAATTTATTATTATTTATTTTTTATTCATGAATAAAATAATAAACATTAATACACTAAATAAAATTGATTAACAGTTGTCATTCCTTTACATATCAAATAAATCATTTATTTACTAAAAATATTAATTATAAAAACAATTCAATATAAATAAATTTAATTTTAGTGTAGTACACAAATACATATCCCTATAATTTTTTATGTAAAATCTTTATAATTAAATGTAACTATTATTTTAATCAAATTAAAAATTATTTGTCAACTCTATGACAAAAGGCCGAGATCAACTGGATCTACTAATTTATATCTAAGAATACATTCTACAAACCACATAAACGGTAATGATTTTAAAAATGGCATATTATATAACATTCTATTAGTTTCAGAATTGGAATCAAAATAAATTATGTAATGAGTACATTTATGTAATGAATGTTTAGAATCATGTGCAACATGGAAAGGACTTACAGAGCCCTGTATATGTTCAGGTTTTGGTTCTCTTTTTAATGTAATTCCATCACCTGCCGCAACAAGTTTCATAAATCTGTCTTTGGTGATTTTCATTTCTTCATAATTAATAAAATCGTAGTTTTTTATCGCAAAGTAGAAACAGCAGTTATTAAATAATTTGGGATTCTGTAATAACAAGAAATTAAAAATGTTATGTTAATGTTAAAGAACTTTAAAAATTAAATTCACTCGTGAATAATAAAATCTCTACTTGTTTTTCCATAGTTTGTCTAGCACGAGTGGAAGCATCATCTAATTGTAGAGGATTTACCTCAAACAAGGATAAATCATCCACTGTGATATTAGTACTGTCATTGAGTATTAATAAGCCTATAAAATATGAAAATGAAATTTAAGTAAGATACATAATATGTATGTACAATATGTATTCAACAACATTAAATTATTATTATAACTTACAGTCACTGCTCACTAGCCATTTTCCATGTAACATTGTAAGTAATATATCAAAAGTTGGTTTTATATAATTTGCTGCATTTGTATCAATTATTACATGACTGACTGCAGGACTATTATAAAAAATTTAAAACTTTAAAAGTCCTTTTAATAAAACAATAATATAATATAAAAATAATTCTATTACCTGAAAGTATTAACAACTTTTAATTTCTTTTCAATTCCTAGCTTTATGAGCAGTTTTTGGTTGTCATGACTCAAATCTGAACCATACAAAACAATTTTTGTTTCTGTACTTATTTGATTCAGTAATTTATGTTCTAATGTTTTATTTAGTTCACAAAATATTTCTGATTTATCAGTTAAATCTTGCGAATGTTTAAATAATTCAGCTATGTTTTGTGATTTACAATAATTCCTGTTAATAAAAAATAAATTTACTTCATTTTCTAAAACGAAATATTATAATAATTCATATACTAACTCAGGGTGCTTTCCTACATTATCAAATACCTTTTTATTAGCATTTGAATTCATTAACAATAAAGCTATGTCATAATCATCATTAAGTACCGCTTCATGTAGTGCTGTTCTATTATCATATCCATGCATGTCTGGTAAGGCACCACCTTTTAAAAGAGCTTCACAAATATTATACAGTCCAAAACTAGCTGCTTCTTGCTAAAAATATATTATATTTTATAAATCATTACAAAATTTATATATTTACACAATTTTACCAGTGGTGTCCACCCTGCAAAATCTTTTGTATTTGGATTTGCTCCCAAAGTTAATAATGTTTTAACACGATCTTCATTATTCTACAATCGAGATCAGAGAAAAATATATTTTCTACTTGAAAATTAGAAATACTATTAAATAAAATATACAAAGTATAAATGTAACATACAGAGCGAGAAGCAATATGTAAAGCTGTTTCACCTTTCTTATTTTTTTTATTAATATTCTTTGTTAAGATTTCATTAGTTTTATTTTTATTATTTTTGTTTATTAATGAGAATTTTGAATTAGAATTTGTATTATTGTTCTGTAATCTGAAAATAAGTATATATATATATTTACAAATATATATTCATACATAAACTTATTTATATATATTTCATTTTAATTAGTAAAATAATAACATTTTCATTCTTATTGCACACATATTTCAATATGCATGATATATTTTTTAAATTATTTGAATTGAATGTAAAAACAAAAATCAAAATTATTTAATTTAAAATTTACTTTGGCCATGTAAATATTTTGAAATCTAAGGACTAGAACGATATAAAATAACAACTTACGATAATCCTACTTCTTCTGCAATTACGTTTAAATTGATTATTAAATCAGATACATCTTGATCTGGACATATATCAGATGCTTTTCCTGGTATTTTACATTGTATACATTCGCTCTCATTTTGTATGCATTGCATGCAAGCAAAGTGTCCACAATTTAAAAATTGCTGAGGATCATTAAGAATTTTTCGACTACAAGATTAACAAAGTTTTTAAAATATATATATATTATGTCAACTACAAAATTATGTTTATATTCTGAAAGCTTACCATTTAGGACAGGTTAACTTCTGAAAAAAAATATTTAAAATTGTATGTGTTTTTACCCATATAGTATCCAAAGGCATTTTTTTTTAATTTACTATTTTTAATTTTTATGAATTACAATTTTAATTCACCAGCAATAATTAAAAAACATGTAACAGATAAGATTTTTCCGGCCATTAAAAAATTGAAATTAGTTAGAAATAAGGTTAGGAATGATTTTAATCATAAATGCTTAAAATAATTTTACTATGGATATATTGCTGCAGTTGTTTTTAGTGTGCTATAAAATTCATTTATTTTATTATTCATTTATTTGCTTTATTTATAAAGCAATAAAAGTAAGCTATAGATAGATTTAAAAATTTTTTGAAATATACGTACGTTTCAATTTTCCAGTTGACAGTTATTATCATTGACTTCCTCTGTGTTTATCAAAAAATTATTGACGAATTTTTTGGAAATTAAATTTATTCAAGTGAATATTATTCAAGAATATAAATTTAACATAATTTATTATTTTTATAGTTTATACAAGGCATAAAAATATATCTGTATTTCATACATTTATGTTCATATATATATATATTATGCAAATATATCATAATATTATACAACATTTTAGAAAGGTTAACTGATTACATTTCTGTAAATTACGCAATCAAGAACAAATTTATTTAAATTTAAAATAGTCTTACTACTTAATTAATTTTTTACTATCCACGAAATATAGTAAATATAGTAAAGTACAGTAAATATAAAAAATTTTTTTTTAATAAATTAATATTACTTTAGTAACATCAATATTTTATGAATGATTTTAATTATTCTTTTCAATCAATGTATCATATATAAAAAACAATATTTTGTTACACAAACATTTATATCAGGAGAATTTCACTTTTAGTGAATATATGAAAAAAGAATTTGAGTTTATTAATAATATCTAATTTTGTTTCTAAAATAAGTTAAAACGTTAAAAAAAATTATAGATCTCATTTATAAAATAATTTTATAAAAAAAAATTCAATTTTTTTTTAAATTGACAATAAATATAAAAAATAACAGAGAGATTGAATATTACTGTAATACTTTTATAAATATACACGGATGTAAATATTAAATGAAATTGTATTTACCTAATTTTAATTTAAAAAATTGTTATGCTTAGAAATAATTTACTCATTCAATTAAATAAATTATAAGTACGTATTAAAAAGGTCACTTAATTTTGTTAATGATTACATATTTAAATTTTATTTATCAACAATTTGAGTTTCTTTTCATTAAATTTTATTACAATAACAATAATCATTTGGTAATTTTTTTATATCTTAACAGATCTGATCAATCACAGTAAGTTCTAGTATTTTTCTTATTTAAACATAATTAATTCCTTAAACGCATTTTTATACATATTGTAAGCTTCCAAATAAATATTGTCATTTTTTCTATAAAAATACAGAACAGATGCCTAGAAGTAAGGTACAAAGGATCATTTCTGCAATGCTCTCACATGAAATTAACAACTTTACAAAACATTCATGTGGAAAGAGAGAGCTCTCACAGTTGAATCTGTTTCAAAAATTAAAAGTTTCATGTAGCTGAGAAGCGTAGTATCGCGATCTTCATTACAACTTTATAGTTCAAAATATACTTTACTTACATGAATAGTAGTTTCCGCAAATAAAAACTAAATAAAACAACTGTCTATCATGTTAGAATAATTATCACGTTAGTATCTACACTTGTATAAATAAAAGAAATGAATAGAAAAACAGTGAAATTGTGCACATTATTACATGTAATATTTGGGAGACGTATCTAATTGATGAGTATCTCGTAATCGTTAAAGGGAATTTCTTCACCTCCGAATGGGATGTACAGACATCCATGGGATGGATGGACCTTTCCAAGAGTCAGTGTATTCTGATGATTGATACGGCCAACAAAGAGTGGCTCCCCATCTTCGGTTTGACCTGCAGGTAAGGCGTTTGGTGGAATGTTGTTGCCACTTACTGGCATCCACATAGGGCTGCAATTGCACAATACCTGAAAAATTTAAAAAAAGGACATTACTTAAAATTAAACTTGTTAAATAATAATAAAGACATTAAATAGGCTCCAAAGTCTTTCTATTTTTTTATATGTGAATTAAAAAATGTTTTCTACTATTTGTATTATAAGTGTGTATTTTATAATAATCAAATAAACTTTGATCAGACTGGTATAAGTTATGAATGGTAAACAGATTGATAGAAACAGATATTTATTCTAAAATATTTGTTTTTATTTCATTATAATAATTATATATTACTTTTTAATTCATTGATATATTCTATTATAGTCATTAATTGTACCTCAATAATAATATTAAGGTATATTCTTATTGTGTATTTATACAGTTTTATGTTTTTCGACTAAGAATATAAGTGAGTTTCGGAGTGACAAAATTAAATAATCTTGTAGAATTTCGAAAACTAGAAAGATACAAACACATCACATTATTTTACTTCATAAATTTCATATTTTACATTTTTTTAAAAAATCTGCTGTTCACATAAGCTTGTATTTCTTCTGTTAAAATGTGTTTTAAAAATAAAAAATGAAAGATTGACATGAAGTTTAGCAAAAATATTATATTATGTTTAATATCAAATTTAATATATTTAATTTATTTACTTTTAATTTTTCAAAAATAATAGAATAAATAAAATAATAAAATATTTAATGAATATTAAATTAACATTTTATAATTAGAATGATTATTATTTTATCGTTAAAATCTATTTGCAATAATTTTTGTGTATTTAATTAAGTATAATATAGCAAAAATATTATTTTTATAAATTAAAAATTCTAAAAGTAAAAATTGATTCACATATGGTTTTATTAATATCATTTAAAGTTTAATTTATTTAATTTATATTTTGTTTTTATAAAGATAAATTCAATAAATATTTACTATCGACATCATAATTATTATAAACATAATCCTATGATTTCATTCATTATCTTCTTTATTCGTGATAATTTCTTTATAAAATTAATATTTTGAGTGTAGAGTAACAAATTAAATTAGTTTTTGTATTTGAAAATAAATAACATTTAATTGTTGGAAAAAATTATTGATCTTTATTAATCTCAAATTTTAAAACTATTTTTAAATCAATACATGCATGTTTTTAAAAATTTGGAATATTTGAATAAATTGTACAAATTATTTTTAGTTGTTTTAATTATTCACGTTGATTACAAAATAATTACTTTCATCAGGATATCAAATAAAATAAATTTAAAAAATCTATTATATAATTTTCTATATTTATTTTTATTTTTAAATATAATAAATCTACCTTTGACCTATTTTTAATAGCTCATATTATATGTCTATAGAATTACATATGTTAATTTGAGTTTATAAATTGCGATTTTTAATTTTTGTAATAGCTATAAAAATAATAAATGATAATGAATTTTTAATTAATTTAACTTCACTAGTGTTATTTTTTATCGAAAATATATATTTTAATTATCTTTGATACATATGTATTAGCAACTTTTAATTTTATGCCCATTTAACTAACTCGTTTTTTATTGTTGAAGCATATTTTACGTAAGTATAAGTAAATAGAGGGATAATAAGATGAAAAAATATTGGATACCTGGTATTCAGTTTTCGTGTGCTCGAGACCGCCCCAAGCCACGTAACAAACACCGTGGCTAAATTTGACTTTACCGGGTAAGAGGGCACCCTCATGGTTGGCTCTGCCAATATAGAGGGGCTCATCGTCTTCACCACCTACAACGGCACCTGGAGGCAGCACTCCACCTTTCACATCGGACCAGATAATGCTACTCAGCTGATCATCAGGTGCCGACGGCGTTGGTGCGGCCACTGTTGCATCTACAAATTTTCAGTTCTGGTTATAAATGGGACTCTACGATTCAACATTAAAACGATTTAGAGGGCCTTTTTAATTAGGCTAATGGAGATTATAGGTTAGCTTGTGAATAATTTGGCAAGTCTCATTCCCATTAAATCAACTTTCCGTTTTAAATATTAGAGAGAGAGAGAGAGAGAGAGAGAGAGAGAGAGAGAGGAGGAGCAAAAGAAAGAAAACACATACATTAATTTTTTCTGTTGATAATTAAAATTGTTTGACACTGGGTAGTTGCTTGTTCTAATATAAAAGTGTTTTCATTATTAATATTAGAAATTATTCTTTTAATATTATAGATAAAATCATTTCCTATTTATCATTAAAACAATCTTTTTAAGAATCTCCAATTGAATACCGGAAAAATTAAGAATTTATTTATAGCAGCACAACAAATTAGAATTATTAATTCAATAAATTTTATTTGCATGCAATACTTATTAATAAACTGATGACATGAAACTATGTACATATCATAATATATCTTTTTATTAAATTGATTAGTAAAAAAACGCGAATTAAATAAATTATTTTAATATACTAAAATATAAGAAAATATGTCCAAGCCTTTGAAGTATTAAAAACATTAAAATTAAATTAAAAGATTAATCAAAAGAGAAAAGCAGATATGAATATACATAATTCGTAAATTAATTGTTATTTTTTTTAACTTTTAGATAATATAATGAATATAAATTCTTAGAACTGTTTCTACATATCACAAAAATTTATTACAATGATTCATTGAATTTATGTTTACCAATAAATTTACAAAGACAATACCCTTAAAATATCTTTAAAAATACAAAAACAAGTTTTACAAATATATTGTCTAACATTTGAATTATAACTTTTAGGTTTATTTTGTTATTATTATTTATTTATTTAATTAATTAAATTATATTAGTTGTTTAATTTAATTTATAACATTTAATTTTATAATTACAAGAAAGATCAACAATAAATCCCATTATTCTGTGAATGGTTATGAAGTTTGAAAACTATAACTGATTATTCTTAATATTCTTCCTAGTTCTGACATACAATTATTGAGAATTATTTCTAAACTTATATATGCGTAATATTGATTTTTTTTAATAATTAATTCTAACAACAAAAATAATATAATAAAAATTTATATATTAATTTACAAATTTTCTCTATTCAACTTGTACAACCTGAATCTATTACGAAAACATACCAGTTACGTATATATAGACAGAGTCAGATTATTATAGAAAATGTGAATATGAACTTCTATATCTATATAACTAAATTCTGCATAATGCGATCGAACAAATATCTATAAATATATTAAAAAAGTAGAACAAAGTTATGAATTTATGTCTTTATTTAAAATTTATTAATATTATTTAATCGATATATAATTTGCGCAATAGTTCAATTCATAATTCATAATATAATTTGCGCAATATTTCAATCAAAGCATTCAATAATTCAATACTAAGATATGATTTAACAGATCATTATCATTTTATTTATTCGGTTCAAAATAAAATATCCGTCAAGTCGATATTCATCATTTGTTTGCTGTCACGTAGACTATTACTTTTAAAATCTCAAGGACACTCACTGAGAGATCGTTATTATTTGTTTCTCATTCCTTTACATTTCTAGATATAGAAGAAAAAAAATTGCATGCAAGCAATTGCATTTCAGTGCAAAAATATTTGTAAAATGTTATTAGTATATTAATGTTAAAATTTTCATGCTGAAAGAACTCATTTCTGATGTTTACAAAATAGTACAAACTTTGATTTACATTTCACGCTTTAGTATCCGTATTTATAACTTTCAAGTATAAGTAAAGCTATAAATAAACTTAAGCATTAAATGAGCAATTAGTTTGATTATGAACAAGTACGACCTAAATATAAAAATGGTCATATATTTGATATCCACACTTTGCTAGTTTTTATTTTTTTCAAACATGCAGTAGATATTTATGATTTAGTTTTTATTCTTATTTACTAAATTCAACAAAATAAATCTTGCATGTTCCTTAATGGAATATTCAATAATATAATATTTGAGAAGATTGCAAGTTACGTTATTACAAAATCTATAGAAAATAGCCTAAAATATTATCGAATATTTTATATATACATAGCATTGAAAATTAGATATTATAATATATTTTAGGTTTTCTATTTTTTATAATATATAGAGTATTACATTATTGTTTTCTTTCCTTTAAATATTTGTTAAATTATACGTGCAAAAATAATGATTGTTATCGAAAAATTAATTTAAAAATTATAGAATTAAATAAAAAATTCCATTTAAATATACGTTATCAACTCCAAATTGAACCTTTGAAATCGACAGAAATTTCATATTGTAAACCACTTATTTAAAAATTTATGATTAAAATTTGAAAAATGTTATGATAATTATTACATTATAATTTTAAAATAGAATTGATATGCATCAATTATAATGTAATCTACTTGAAGCTAAGCCATTGTATGTTTAAATGCATGTATTTACAAATATTTATCATCTAAAACTTGTTTTCAGTTAAATAAAAATTGTTTCTAAAAATTTAAAGACATATTATAACAACTAGATATACATTTTTAAATAAAACATATATAGGCACCGAAAATACAAAATATTTAATTCTTTAGAAAAAGATATTTTTTAGTAACCTTATAACCTAATTTATGATTAATATTATAATTTACATGTAATATTGTTATAAAATTTATATACTTTTTTACTATTTATTAATAACACAAAATAAAAATTTATATTTTTAATAAACTAATGTATTATATTCAGTTTAATTTCTGTCATTATTAAGTTTATTATTTTATGTTTACAAATTACTATTATGTAGAATATATTTTATGGATTGCTTTATTACTATTAAAAATTTATATGAATTAAATAAATGAAATTATTTTTAAAATGTTATCGGGAAAAATAAAAAATAAAACGATTGTGTTAGAATTATTGACTATAATTAAATACGTACTACCACCATAATGACCGGCGATACATCTTGCTGTAGATATTTAGATTATAAAAGGTATCACTCCAAAAACATACCAAAAATAAAAGAGCAATATGAATTAGTAAAATTAGACAATTTATTTTCATTTTTGCATTAAGATTTAGTTTAAATAAAATTGATTTGGACAAAATCTGATAAAATAAAAATAAGACATTCTAATGAACATTTATATTTTATCATCAAAAATAATATTATAACATAAGTCATAAAATCAAATTTATATGCATGTAACAATTACTAGTATTCTATAAAGATATAAATAGAATTTAAATATAAATAAAAGTAAATATGAAAATATATTTTCAATGATTACTGATCTTAAAAACAAATGCATTAAAATAAATTTTAATTATTCTTCTATTATTATTGTTATTAATACAAATGTCACATTGACAAGTAATAAACAGTAATTCAATATGGTCTATGTCTTTTGCTTAAACTTTACCTTCAATTAGCCACTCGCCAGAAGCACCCCAACCAGTACATACACCAAAGTGAGTAATTTCAAAGGGCTCGGGATCAGTATAACTAAGAAAAGAACTTTGCTCTCCTTCCATTCCCACTGTGATTTCACCATCATTCCACCTATAATTTCCAATATAAATTATAAAAAAATATAAATCTAGATGGAACAATAAGGTAAATAATTAATTTACCTTATCCAAAAACCACGTAGTTCATCAGCACTCAGAATATTCGGGGTGTTTACTTCGATAACATCAGGTTTCGTTCTGTTTTTGCGAACAACAGATTTTGAATTGTTCCAACCGCCGATAAAAACCTAGATTTAATTCGTTAAAATTACACTTTTAATGTTTATATGATTTTAATTTCAATTTGTAAATTTGAGAAAATAAATTATTTTAGTTTTGTCATAAAGCGTATTGTAATAAGCTAACATAAATTTTCTTTTTTTAAATATAACTTTTATCTTACTCATAGAAATTTTATATTTTATTATAAATTATGCAAAAAAATTTCATAGTGTATTGATTTTATAAATAAAAAATAATTAATATAAGAACCTCCCACATGGGGTCGCTTTCATTGGGTCCTGTAGTTAAGGCTATGTGAGCATCATTTGGTGCCTTGATACGGAATTGAATTTGCCTACCGTTAACAGGATAGAAACGGTATTCCAATTTGTTATCAGTGGATAATGCTGTGGTAAGAATATGTATGTTAATGCAAGAAAGACAATTACTGTCAATATACAAACGAATATCGATAAACAACAATTAAAATTAATAAGGTTAACAAAATTTCTATTTATGAAAATCGTTCAAATAGTGAACAAAACTAAAGTTAATAATTTGACGAATAATTATATACTAATGCACAAATAGTCAAAATAATCTATTGTTTTTCGTACAATAGATTTAATAATACATTTCTATCTATATCTATAATTCACATCTATAAATAATTGAAAATTTCAAATTGTACTTACAAATCTAATTTTTTTATATAAATACTCATGTTTACAATTTTAATTTATTTCTAAAAATTTGACAAATAATTAATATGATTTAATATAATTGAAATTTTATATAATGTAGATCGCGAGATATTATTTTTTATTTATCCGAATTAAAAAAAAAACAGAGTATTAAACAGATCGATAGGTTGAAATAAAAATAATTTTATTGGAAAAGTATATATCATATTAAATAGTCAATATTAACACAAGAGCTAGACGCTATAAAAAAAACTATTAAGTAGTTTGTATGAATTCATCTTTATATATTTATCCGCGGAAAGATTTTGAAAGTCATTAATATTTTATTTAATAAAAATATCACCTATATGGTAATATGGTGATTTATTAAAACCATTTAAAATTTATTTAATCATTTACTTGATGTATCATTTTTGAAGATAATACCAAATGATCGATGCTTGATATAAGAAATATTCATTATTATATAAATCTCTACATAATTGCATATTTATAAAAGTATAATGTAAATCTTATAATTTTAAAGAATATTATAATAATAAAAGTTCTTATTTATAGACATTATTGGAGATGGTAAAAAAATATTAATAAACTACAATTGAAATCGTGACTCAAACATCAATTTTATTAAAAAAATTCAAGTGAATAATGCAATTATGAAAGTGTTTAATAAATTAATCAAATATTTTAATCCTGTATAATCAACAAAAGATTGCAATGATGTGACGATTTGAAATCTATTTACTTAATTAAGGATGCATGGATTATCCAGTATTTAATGGATAATTTGAGAAAATAACATTACATCTTGAGGTTTATTATATCATCATATGAACGAGTCCAATTATAAACGCAATTTTCCTCTAGTGTCTGCAAAATGAACACGAAATTGCAAGCGCGTGCTTCCGAACATACACACGTGCGTATCCTTTAGGCCTACTCGATGTTTCATTAGTAATTTAAAAATTTTTACCTCAATCTAGATTATATTAAACGTCTAATTCATATATAGAGAAATTTTTTAAAATTTTTGTACATTTCTTCGTTATTAATGTATTAATAGATAATTAATACATTTCTTGCAAGATATTTAAATAATTAAGAAATATATTTTTAATTTATCTATATTGAAATGCATGTTTATAATATATGAAAAATAATAATCTTAGTTTCTTAAATATAAAATCATATTTATGAATTTAAATAATTTTTATCCATAATTAATCACAAATATTAAATAAGTTTTTATTTTCTTGTTAATTTAATAATAAATATATATTAAAATGAAATACAAGATAGTATCGCATCATTTTTAATAATGAGATATAATTTTATTATCTATAAAAATAAGAATATTTCTTTAAATCCGAAAATAATAATTAGAAATAGCACAACACATTTTAAAATTTAAATGGTGAATATAAATTTGTTATTGGATTTTTCTCATTATATACGAAAATTAATAAATGAAATACAGTGAAAATATAAACTGTAACTATCAAAAAGCTTACTTATCAAAATTATCAAAAAAAAAAAAAAATAATTATGAAAAAGTTTTAGTCAATTGTGTACTATGCTACTTATAGTAAATATTTATGACTTATTAAATAATTATCAAATATTTGCGATTCATAAATTTAATACCAATACTATTTTTTTATAAACTGCATTTATTTAATAAATATCTTTTAAATGGTTTCAAATGTATTTCTTAACTAAATATTAATTATTAAAAAAGCCTATGGTTATTAACGTTCTCAATAAAGTATATTTTTCTAAAAAATAATTCGTTTTAAATGATGTAATAACATCGAAAATATATGTTAACCAAATACAATTTACTGAAATAACTAATAGTTTGAAATAACTTATAGTTATTAGTGATCTTAATAGAATATATTTTACCTAATAAATAATTAATTTTAAAAGATATAATAGTATGTACATACCATATTGTTTATATTTTATATAAATAAAAATTTATGAGGTTTAGAAAAACTTTTGTATTTAAAAATGGAATTCATTAATTGTTACGATTTACAAGGCAGTTAATGTTTACGAGTATAAAAAATAATTTAAAAATAAAATAATATATAAATTAAATTCGAAAAAATGGATAATTCGAATTTCATAAACAGTATTAGTGTTTTTTTAACTTTATGAGATTGTAACAAGATTTCCTTAGTAATAAAAAAAATTTAATTTGAAAAATAGTAGTTTATAATTTTAATTAAATAAAATACCACATTATCAAGATTGTTATTACAAAATCAAGACATGCGAATAACAAAAGAAGTAATTGGATAACGGTGTGTAGATGTTTGTCAGACGGAACATCCGTTACTTTCCGCTGATATTTAATAACGCCTTTTTCTTTTCATCTAATACTGCAATATCTTTTCATCTATTACATCTAATAATACAATATTCTTCTCTAATAATTTGAGACTAGGAATTATTTAATAACTACTTACCTAGTTATTCGTAAAGTATAATAATATAATTTACGCTATTCCTTTTTTACTATTTAAAGTTAAATATATATTTTTATGAATGTTATATATTTATGCATTTGTATTCATATTTTTATAAAATTGTAGTAATAAAAAGGAATTTTTCATTTACATATTTTTTGTTTTATATTCACAGATTCTCTATCGCAATTAAAAATGAATTTTATACTTATTTCCTATTAATTAAATTTAATATTTAGTATTTTAAAATATGTAATAGTATAGTTAATATTCTGTACAGAATACATGCTAAAATAGAATTCAAATTTCGTTGTTACTAACTTAACTAATATACAATCAATATCTATTAGATAAATTTTAGACATAAATATATATTTACTTAAAGGAAAACAATCCAGTGTGAGTCATATTTTGAAACGAAGCCGTTTATTCGAAGAATATTATATTGTTTACTAATTTTAACTTTAAATCACAATTGTAAAGCGTAATATCATCTCAAATATTTCTAGCCATCTCAGCTATCAATGTATATATTTATTATTTTATCAATTTATAGAATATAGTTATGACTAAAATATATTTTATTTTTATAGGAAAAATAGAACCTTATAGAAAGAATGAATATTTATCTTCTACTATTTTAATCAACGTTTGTACATTGCATTTTATTACAAATTAAATTGAAGATTAACTGCAATATCAATGAAATAAAATAAAATAGCAAATTTTTAAAGTATCCTCTTTTTATTCAATATCTTATGATTATATATATATATATATATATATATATATATATATTTATTCAATATCTTATGATTATATATATATATATATATATTCGAATATTAGTTAATTTGTTAACTAATAATAAATATTATCTTATATCAAATACATTTTTGAGTTTTTTCTCTTTCTAATGTACCTCCATTAAACGAATATTTTTTAATTTGAATGCTTTATATGGATTTCAGTATGATAGAGAAATATCTGATTGGTATTAAATTTTTTTCATGTATCAACTGAATTTTAGTTTCACAGTTAACTGTGTAGATTATGACTTTACTTTGCCTTCATTCCTATATTTAGAAAAAGAAAAATAAATTCAAATTATAAAACTATCGTTCTAACATGTGGTAAAGTTGGTTCTTTGACATAACATCCAATATGACTATCCTTCATACAATGAAGTAGTACTATACTGCAATAAAGACAAGAAATTGGTTCGAATGATTCTGTATTTTTAAAAATGTCCTTTAGTCTTCCTATAATATAATCAAAATGTCTTTCAATTTTCTTTTTCTTCCGAAGTTTTATTATAATAAATCCTGCTTTTGGATAACTTAATTTGTTTAATTAAAAAGTTTTGTGCTTTATTGTTCCTGATAGAATAATTTCTTATACTTGGATATACAATATATGTTTATCATATTCAAACATAACGTCTCTACCTAAATAACGTAAAAAATTTTCAATAATAAATGTATTTAAGCAATTATGCTATTAATAATATACTCAATAGTCGTAATTATTATTTAAAATTTAACGACTGCTGATTTCACTTGTAAGTAGTTGATTATCTCATTACTAATGAGTTTAATGGAAACTGCGGAACTTCTACAATTTAACGATTTAACGAAAACGTAATCATTATATATATCGTTCATCTAATGCATGTGATTCGTTTCTATTGATTTATAATAAAAAATCGCATGGTACGATATGTTATTATCACAATATATTATAATAATCGTTGTATTATTTGGCATTAATAGTTTTATTGGTATAATTAGTTAATCATATGAAATATAATTTTTGTATTAAGAATAGTATGTTAAGTATTCTAAGCTTATATTGAGTATTGCTGCAGATACATTCAGGAAATACAAAATAAAATATAATATTTAAAGAATTCTTAAAAAAGAAAACTGCTAGTAAACAGTTAAAGCAAATAAAGCTATATGTAGGTCAGTTCGTTATTGATACGTTAAGGCAGTGTTCGGTGCTTTTTATTTTCAATAATAATTATCGTGTTTACGAGAGACGACAGTACACAGGAAAAAACTAAGCGCAAGGTGTTATAAATTGAAAATGGTAGAAATAAAAACTGGCAATAGCATATCATTATCGGAGGATTTTTCAGCATAGTGCATATATTTCAAATGCGAAAAAAAAGAAGCATAAAGTTGTTACTGTCGTTGAACGAGTTTAAAATTCAATAATACTCACTGATAGCCATTATCGCTCCTTAATGATCTGTCTGTTATTAGTATCAATTGAAATGATAAAACCCAAGTTTCGCGCAATTACGATTCACACAACGTAGTTACAAGCTACGGACTGCAAAGAGAATTGAATAACGAAGAAGACGCAAGTGACACACGGCTTTACATTTCTCACGAACGTCGTGGTAATAGAGTAGGACGGCCAGAGTCTCACCATTCTTCTCTGACTTATGCGGAATCAGCTTTTAGACCACTACCCGCGTGCAAAAGAGCAGACGGCGGCGACATGGTGGTGGATCCTTGTATTTGCAAATATCGCTGACTAGTTTAGTTATTAGGTCCCTTACAAAGTTTTGCCGCGAAAGTCAAACGAATGTGTTCCAATCTACATATGCTGAAAAACTATATTTCTGTTTCAATAGCTTTTTATTATAATGAATAATATTAGATGGATTATTTTACCTATTCTGCACACTTTACGTCATTTTTAATAATTTTTTAAAAATAATTTTAATACAAGTAAAGAGAATATTATCATTTAATAAAGAGAAATATTATTACTATTAAAAAATACGAATTACTATTATTCAATAGTTTTATGAAATAATTTACAAATGTAAAGAGTAAGAGTTCAAATATTTTTACATTATTTTTCAACATTATAAATAATTATAATTGACTATTTTTTAGTAGAATTATTCAAATTACAAACATATCTCATTGTAACAAATGTGCTTCATTAATGCATACTTTTTTAAAATTATGTTTATTTCTTTAAAAAAAGTAACTAAATGAAATAACAATTTTCAAGAACAGAAAAAAGTTGAAGCCATAAGATTTCAAATGAAATGGTTTTTTATTTAGTACGCTTATATATAAATAACAAATACTAGATGTGCATTTATAATATATATATATTCAAATATATTTATTTCAATCAAATTGTAAATTTTAATAATATGCTGTTTTAAATAATCAATAAGTTATTGCATACAAATGTATTATATTAATACATTTATTATATAATTTTTTTATAAATATACATATAAAAGAATATTCATTAGGCAAGATTTTATGCACAATATTCATTATATTTAATTAAGATAATATATAAATATAATTCATATATTAATCAATATTTTATTGTCAAAGTGATTTAAATTTCAATATTTTCTTGTTTATGTGTAATAAAATATTTTATTTTGTAGTTTCATAGAAATACATTGAAAATTTTTAAATTATAATGCTAAATTCTATTTTATATATTAATTTGTATTTAATATTGAAAACTATATTCTTTCTTCGAAAACGTCAAATAAAAACAACAAATAATTACATACAATAAAAAAATTATTGTAATTTAGTGTTTTTTCATAGATATACATTTACAGCTACAACAAAATCTTCTGAATTATTTTAAATTTAAAGAGTTAAAATAATAGTTTCCAAAAAATATACAACATATATTAGCAATAATTTAGAAAAAAGATGAGTACAATTTTTATTATATATATTGCAACAAAATAGTAAAATTCTACATCGTGGTATATTAAATTAAAAAATATACTAAAAGTAATGTAATTTAGTATAAAATTTCAATTTGTATTTTATAAAATATTTTAATATATTAAATAAAAATTAATAAATTCTTAATTTATCTTTTCATTTTTATTTATAATACCAATTTATTAAAATATTTTATATTATATTATATTATATTATATATAAGTATATTAATAAATATACTTATTAAAACTATTATTAACATTAGTTTTATTTATATTATTAATAAATAAATATTTATAAAAACGATTAAAAGTATATTTTTAAGTAAAATTAATATTTTTTCTCAATATATAATAATATAGAATATTTTTGATTGTGTATTATTTAGATAACTATTAATATTAATGTTTATTCTTCAATATTAATTTTTTTATAATAGCACTAATATTATCAGAAATTTTTAGTTATTATGTAAAGCATAAGCAAGTATACAAAATATAATAACAGTAAACTATTCTCTAAGTCGCTTACCTTCACAACATACTGTAAGAATTAATAATAGTCACAATAAACAAAGGATATATAATACATACACAGTTTATGTAAATTATATATACATAATATATAATACACTTTATAAACATAGTATATGAATGATAAGACTGATAAAGTAAAAATGATGTCAATAAAAGTATTTATCCATTATTTTATTATTATAAAAATTAAAATATACTTTGCATATTTTTATTTTTCTTATTACCATCATATTATATACCATAATAAATAAATAATTTTTCGAACTACATATAAATTTGTACCTTTCTTTTTCATGTATCTTTATAAAACCCGCCATTCGTTTTAAATATACTTGAAATTACCAAGAGATGTCACCATTAGTTCATTATGCTATTTGACGAAAACGAAAATATGTAATATATATTACATATTGCTATCATTTATCTGTAACTATGTAACTATAAATATATAAATATAAATATATAAATCTCTAACTATAAATATAACTTAACATTTAATTATAACTAAATTTATATCTTATAATAATACAATAATTATTACAATTTTTTCTTGGTTTTAGTTTATTTTTGTTTTTATTATATTTTTTAAATAAAAAACCATTTCTCTAGTTATATAAATGAATACGCGTTGATATAAAAACATTTTTTTCTTATGAATTATGTTTAAAGAATGATTTTCTGTAGCTGAAGGGATATATTTAGTAGACTAAAAATTTGATCGAATCAAAATGAATAATTGAACAAAGCTAATATTATCCTATTCGCAACTGTAAGCGACGAGGTCATCATAATGGCGTCATAAAGCTACTCTGCGTACTGATTGAATTTGAGGCTGAGTGTATACTTACTATCTCTTTCTTTGTTAACTTTCTACGAAAGCCAGAAGTAACTTGTTCCTTCTTTCCTGCTTTCTATTACTTATAATTTTCAAAAAATTTTCAAAAGTGACAACAATAAAATTGCCGAGTTCCAAATCGAATATATATTTTAGCTATTGTGCGTTTGGCTACGGTTGGAGAATAGAATTGCCAGTAGGTAAAAGAGAGAGAAAGGTAATAGGAATAGTGTGGAGGTAGTATAACGATACAGTAGTAGGAAAAAGAAAGAGGTAGCTTGAAATGGCAAAGTAATTAAAAAGAGATAGAATATATTTAGATGAAGCGGATGGCGACACTGACGGGAAATGGCGGAAGTTTAGTTACAGTCGGGTATTGTAATACGTGCATGACACGGAGAATTCATTTCTCACAAGTGCTTGGCACATCCTCACATACTTTTACGTATTAATGCATGTGCAATGTAGGGGCGACCGCCCATGTACGCATATACGCATCTTAGAGAGAGAAAGAAAGAGCCATGCTAGTGCACGCTGGCTGCGCTGAGAAAAGCAGAAGAGCACCATGAGAGACAGCGACGGCGTGTTAACGCCGTCCTCGTTGGGTAGCCAAGTGAAGCTAAACGCGCGGTTCGTGGCGGTCAGTTATTAGTTACGAATTGCGATTTAATGCTTGTTTTCGTGTGTCTGAACTCATTGCTCCGTATAATGCACTGTTACACGCTCTTAATGACAGCTGCGCGTTTTGCAATCCTTCTATTCTGATAACGAGCCATCGTTGAAAGAGGGAGAGCACAGAAGTTCCAAGCGGGAGAAAAAACGTATAATTTGTGGCGACCACTAAAGAAAGAACGACGACCCGAAGTAAGAAAGAGATATAGAACGATATATATATATAGAGAGAGATAGATATATATATATATAGAGAGAGATAGATATATATATAGAGAGAGAGAGCGAGAGAGAAAGAAGGAGAGTGTCGAGTTATTTTTTGTGATACGGCATACGTATACAATACGGTGGAGAAGGGTACGCGTCCGTAAGGAGGCTTATGTTTGTATGCAGCAGCGGCAGTCTCGGGACGATCGACGGTGGCATCGACGAGGAAAGGCCCAAGTTCCTGACATAGTGAAGTTCAGTGGCGGCAGATTCGAGCAATAGTTGACAATATAGTGAGAGCCGACAATAGCCATTACTCCATCCTCTCTTCGATAGGCGCGAGTGCCACTTGTTTTTTCGTAACTTTGTCAGCGCGCTATATTCCGAGATCCATTCTTACTCCGTTGCGTGTATTTATCCATATCAACGCATATTGAAGTCATCCCAGTTAAAGTGAGACATCCGACATTGGAGATATAACCGTGCTTGTGCGGTGCGTGATTGAGTTGCAGTGTTTGCTTGGGTGGGGGGGGGGCAAAAAAGAGTGTTGTTGGTGGCATCATCAGATCCACAAGGTTTATCCAATTTAACACCCGAAACCATGAAGGAGAAAAGAAGGTAAGGATCGCGAATTCCTTTGCTTTATGATTATTGAAGGATATCCCTATACTCTCTTCTCATTTAATTCGTCTAAATTTAAATGCCCTCGACAACTCCTTGTCGCGGCTGATTTCTTCTCCACATGTTCCTCGATAATTTCGTCCATCGAGGTGGCGCTTCTTGGAGGTAAAGGGTCTACCAGGAAAATAAATGAAACTATCAGTTGCGAAGACGTTGGAAAGGTCTTGTTCGATTAGGAAGTGAGCCAACGTTTACCAGCTCACGGGATATTTGGCGATGTTCGAACTCATACGATGCATACTCCCTAATTCTAATAACGTGCTTCGAGACGTGTTATTGTTTTATATTCTCGAAGTTTAAAGTATATTGCCGACGAGGAGAAGCTTTAGAATTGCCAGCAACTTCAGTCTTTTTATCTATTGCCACCCTATATGACCCCCTGCAAGTTTGACAAATCTCTCTGAAAGTCTAGCACCAAGGCTCTTCCATTCATCTGTTTCGCTTGCGACTGGTCGGTCCTGATGCATTTCGGATTAATCCATTTGAGTAAATCTGGTGCGGCTAAAGCAATTTTACCCCTTCCCCTGTCTTAGCACACAGATTCGTAATATTAATTCTGTTAAATATAAAGTATTTAAGATATTCTTAATGCTTCATGATCATAGCATTCTAAAAAAAGAAAATTACTCATTGCGTTCAATTGTATACAAATTTTAATATTCTATTTTGGAAATGATATATTATTAGTGTAATATTTTTCGAACAAGGAAAATTTATGTACTTATTTATCATATTTCCTTATTTATTTGTAAATTGATAATAATAAAAAATAATTAGGATTTTAATTTAAGAGGGAACTGCAGGTAACGGTAGAAAGATAG